CAGTAGGAGCTCACGAGATCTGTGCCCAGTGGTGAATTCAAGGTGCCCATCCCTCAGCAAGACTTTGGGCACCGATCCTGGCTGTAAAAAACCTAAGCTTAGTGCGCTGGCCCTCCTGGAGAGTCTCAGAGCCTTAATATGTTCCTTTTCTGCTAAATTAGCTAGGGTTGGTTTTTGTGGCTTGTGACTCAGAAGCCTCAGTGAACCAGGTATGAACAGATAATTTTCTCAAAAAGAATAAGAAATGTCAAACACAGGAGGGAAAATTTATACTAGCTAGCAGTCAAACTTAAAGCAGGCTTGGAATAATAATAAAAAAAATCATTGTTGTGATAAGCTGTTACTCTTGTTTATAGCTCGGAAGGGTATAGAATGTTCGGAAAGCAGTAATAGGAACATGAAGCAAAATCTGTAAACATCTTAGCAATTCCCAAGAAAATGAAACGTAATTATTTGTGTTTGTAAGAGAAATTATTGAAATGGTCTTAACATTGGTTGAGCCGGGGATAATAAAATTTGTATCAGGACCCAGGAAGATTTGGAGAGAAGAGATAAAGACCCACTGCCAGTTTCCTGAAATGTAAAGTTATGAAGCTGTCAGAGTGTCTGAGTTCAAGGGCAACACATCTCCTGAAAGAACATTTCCACAAAGGTGAGAAAGGACAGCTTCCAGGTGTGAACCCTGCACAGAGGGAGGTGATTAAAGGGGAAGAGGGTCTGTGAGGTGGCCCTCCCTGCAGGGATTTTATGCCCCCAGAGAACTGCTCTTGGAAAGAACCAAGTCAGAGCTGTCTTTCAGGAACACAAGTCTGCTTGGTGGGCAGCGATCTTACTGCTAAATACCTAGCATTTGGGGAACGTTTTAATAACTGATGGTGCATTGACCCACAGAGAATGATATACAACTCTTGAAATAAGAACCACAAAGTCTGTAACAACAGGGCAAAATGTTTGTGATGTAAACAAGTGAAAATACTATACAGGATAAGTACGTATGATGTTTAACTAGGCAGGATTTTACCCATGTGGGAAGGACAGCTAAGGAGTAAGATGACAGACCACGGGGAGTCAGAAATCAGAGCAAAGAAAGAATGGAAGTCAGAACAAAGGGGCCTTGTGACCAGTTCAGGAAGACTGAATGAAAATCTGACCCATCTCAGCTGGATTCCATTGGTTCCTATAGCTTGACTTCACGTCCTTCGGCTATAAAAGAGATTTAAGAAACCTGTCAGTTGGGAAGGGGGTTGGAGGGATGGGTAAAAAAGGGGAGGGGGTGAAGAAGTACAAATTGGTAGCTACAAAATAGTCATGGGGATGTAAAGTGCAGCGTAGGGTATAGTCAATAATATTGTAATAACTATGTACAGTGTCAGATCAGTACTAGATTTATCAGGTGACCCAAACACGCCAAACACGGGTGTGGATTTTATGCTGAGCCACGATTTATTTTTCCACCTTTCTGAGTCTACAGTAATCAGCTAGTTGGAGGATCCTTCCACCTTTCCTTCCCTTCTTCTTCTTTCCTTCCCTCTTCTCTTCCTTCCAAATATTAATTGTGTCCTGTGTGCTTTCTATCTGATTTTAAATTTAATCCCAAAAGGACTTCGGCACATAGAAAGAATCTGGATCTGGGCAGCTATAGATTTGTAAGGCTGAATCAGGCCTGTCATCCTCCGATTACATTGCATGTGCCTTTGAGAGTAAAACTCGTGGCTTGTACACCTACGGTTGTGTAGGCGTGGGGAGTCGTGACTTTGAGAACCCAGGCTTTGTGTGGCTGTCGTGGTAGTGCTTTCCCTAACAGCCCACCTTGGGGGGATGGTTTATGCACATGAGACCCCCTGCTGGCTGGCACTTGTTCCATGATAATTGTTTCTGAGGCCACAGAGAAGTGCAGGAAAAGAATCTAGGTGAGGAACATCAAGTGGACTGTTTTAGTTTGAGAATGTGGCCTCTGAAAATGCCTTTTAGAGTTCAAATTCCCAGCTGCTGTTTATACAAGTACTTAACTCTCTCAGCCTTAGTTTCCTCCTCTGTACAGCCAAGACAACCAACAGTTACCTCACAGAGTTACTGTGAGGTTTCAGTGAGATAACATAACTCAGATAGATGCTTAGCACACTGCCTGGGACGATGTCACACACAATGTTAGCTTCTGTTATTAGCAAGATAAAGTCATTCCATCTGGAGAAGAACTATGGGTGGAAACAGGTAAAGCCAGTTGTGCAGAGTCCCAAACCTGAATCACTGGCTGGTTCTTTCCAACTAGTCGTTCTAGCATGTTCAAATCCAGCTTGTGCTCTTCATTTCTCGGCAAAGGTCCTCTCCCTTTTCCTAAAGGGTATGTTCACACTCACACCCCCACTTACACGGGGGCAGGAAGCCAGTGAGATCCTGGGCAAACACCCTTCTTATAAACTGGAGAAAACAACAGAGCTGAATGGGGATGATACAGGGGGACAGGTCAGTCACACTGTCAGCCAGACCTTGTCAAAGCTTCAAAGCTCTAAGATGCTGTGGTCTCAGTTCTGCCAGTTCCAGGTGGGCTCACTATCTTCTGTTCTCTGCAGTGACAATTCTGGTCTCCGCTATAACATAATCACGGTGACAAGTGTCTACCTCGCACGGTCATTGAAAGTGCTCAGGGCAGCATACAGTAAGAGCTCAACAAATGTGGACTATTAGTCACAGCCAGTGCAGAAGTGGCCCTGCTCTTGGTTGAGCCCCTATGAGGACAGCCATGGAGTGGAACGCAGGCCCTCTCCTGGTCTCAGCTCCCAAGGATCTGAGTCACAAGGGGAGTCATCTGGTTATGTCCCCACAGCCGGACTGCTTCCCCGCAAGGCAGCTGTGATAAATGACGTAAATGCCGTGTATCACAACTAAGAAGATAACATAAGGACAGGTTCATCTGTGCAAACTGTTCTGCGGAATTTAAATTATTTCCCCTCCTAACTGAGGAATGCCAGACATTCTGCCTGCTCTCCTCCTTTTCCAAAGACCTCTTCCACCAAGCCAAGGGCTTTACCCAAGCCCCTGGACAGCTAGCTTCCCCTGGCCCCAGCCTCAGCACCCCAGCCCAGTCACATGGATGCCTTTGGCCTTGTAAGTCATTAATACTCTGGGTAGTTTTACTCCTGTCAGTGATGGAGACTTTGTAAGACACGTTGCTGAGTGAAGAGAGAGTTGCTCGCTCATGGGGCGGGGCGTCTGGGTCAGTGAGCATCCACACACACTGTCTCTTGGCCAAATAATGTTCCAGCTATTAACTCAGGACTCCCCCAAAGAAACAGATAATAGCACCTTTCTGAGGACTTTATTTCAAAAGGAAAAAAATTAAATTCCTTAGACAAGGATTTGGTTAATTCATAAATGTATACCATCCCCACATCAACTCCTTTCGCTGCTGAGCTGTACTGAAGTAACCCCCTCACCCCCACCCCAAAGATTGCTGGAGAAGGGAGTTCTGTGGAGAGCAGCAAGTGGGACCAGATCCCTAGAAGACCTGGCTGTTCTCTGAAGCCAGGAGCTTCCCGCACAAGCACCTTGGAGGGAAAACTCAGGGGCAATTATCAATAGGTGCAGTCAGGGGCAACCTTGAAGACATCAGCAAATGTGCTTTAAAATGCAAAGAGCTTCAAACCTGACTCCAGGAGGTGATCCTTCTGGAAACACCATTTCTTCCTTTTCAAAGAAAAGTGGCTGTTTCAGAAAAGGTCCTGCCCTTAACTATTTCTCAAATTCCACCCCTCTTGGAGCCAGCGCTTCCATGCCAGGTATGCAGCATTTGAGGACCATGCAGGAGGTGGGGGCTTTAGCCCCCCACACTCACTCTCCGCCACCCTCCCCCCCGCCTAAAAAAAAAACACAAGCCAGCCCTCGAGGCTGTTATTCTCTGATGTGGTTTTCTAAGTTTTATGTTGTGATAGACACTGGGGGCCCATCCCACCCACGTCTACTCTGTAATGGCCTGTGGTTTGGAGAGGCCAGGGCGCAGGTTACCAGAGGTGATTTCTCTTGTAGTAGATGTGGCTCAAGGAAGGATGCGAAACCTAAATTAATCTATTCAGAGTGAAACTCAGGGCTTTGTTCTGTTTGCGGAAAGAAGAGCCGTCTCCCTCCTCCTAGACGAGGAAGCACATGACGCCAGAGGTGCTGGCAGCTGCCATTACCAGGAGGGAAGCCATCGTGAAGCCAAAACTCACCTGTGGAGGAGGGCGGTGACGCCAAAACTCACCCATGGAGGAAGGTAGGTTGACAGGGTACAGATAGATGTAGCACTTGCAATCCTGACTGAAGCCAATCAATTCTTAAACTTGCCTGACCCCAAGATGTTGTAGTTGTGTGAGCTAACAAATTCTGTTATTTATACCATTAGATGTGAATTTTCTGCTATTGACCTATGAAGCACTCTTAATACAATTATTTTTGGAAAGAAAAAACACAGAGAGCCTACTCCTGGCAGTGAGAGAGAAGGAATTGATTTATGGAGTGCAACGTTCATCACCTCCTTTCTTCAATCCCCTTTTAAAGATAATTAGACCCAGGCTCAGATGAAGCAGACATCAGGAGTACAGCGTACTCTCAGCTCCACAGGGCTGCAACCAGAGTGGCTGGCACCTACTAGGTGCTTTGCAAAGGTGATGAGGGAATACTTATTTGGCTGGATGGTGAAGGAGCCATGATTCCAACCAGTCTGGGCTCAGATCCCACACTCTCCAGAAGAGCAGAGGCCAAGCAAACTGGATGAAGTAATCAAATCGCATGCACCCAGTAAAGACAAGTAGAGAGATGTGACAGACATGTAACAGATGGCAGCAGCAAAGAGCCGGCCTGTACATCAGCACACACCGGTTCAGACAAACTCTTCCTGACTATTTTAACTAGGACTGTGGGACCGTTCCCTTAGATGGAGGCCCTAGATGGGGTGCTTAAAACCTTGAGGCTGTTTCTCTCACAAAACCAAAACCTGAAGAACGGCAGCATTGGAAACTACTCACTGTGACAAGGAAACTAAAATGGTGACTGACGACTGAACGAATTCTCCAAGGAAAATGCTGTGAGCCAAGGATCGCCTCAGCTGAGAAAGCTCCCAGGTTCCCGCCCAGACTCTGGAATGCAGGATGCCCCACCCTGTGGAGAAAGTCCCCTTGGGCTTATGTAAGAGAAAATTCCCTTTCCCTCTAAAGAATCAGTTTCAGGGAACTCCACTGCTGGACCGCCCCCTCCATTCCCACTCCCAGACACAATGGGTCCCCAAAGTGTGATAAGTATCTGAAGGGACGAGTAAAGTCAAGTGGAGACTTGTGCAAGCCCACACGGCTCCAGAGGCCCTGACGTGCCCCCTTCAGGACGTGGTGCATGCTGGGAAGTGAATAGAGAGAAGAGGCTCCCCAGGCAGCAGCCACAGGCCTAGTGGGAGCCGGGCGGGCAGGAGTGCCAAGGGTGGCCCTTCCGGCTTCTCTGAGTCCAGGTGTTCTCCTGCTGTGACACTGACCTGACCTTAAAAAAACAATCCCCTGGAAGCTGACACGTAGGGTGAAGAGAATGAAGACAGCCAAGGCCGCTCAGGCAATCGCCCCAGACAGGTGCCTGAAGAAACCTGGTCATTCCTGAGGTTGTATGTTTTCCAAGCTCCCCACGAAGAGCCAAAATGAGGCTCTTCTCCCAGATAATTCTACCCACTGTCACCAACTCTCCCAAATCAGCCCACTGCACTGTCTTTGGGGTTGGTAGTGTTTCACATGAAAATACTTCGAACAGCATAGAAGAGAAGCATCAGTTTCTCATACATCTTGATCCCTAATTTAAAGGGAGAGGAAGTCCCTCCAATTCCACTTCCTGAATCCCTTTTCAGAAGGCTCATTTTTCTTTTCCCACACAAACCACAAAGCCCTAAACAGGATGTAACATTCTTTCTCACAGCCTTTTTTATTTTAATAAATTGAAAAACTCATTTTTCTAAGGGGAGCCTGCATTCTTAAAGTTGAGTCTAAATCTTGAAAAACTTTGAAGGTCACATTTATTTTCCCCTTGGGAAATTTTTATTCAGTCTTGACAGCAACAAAAGAGCACTTCACTTTTAAGTGCTTGACTCAGAGAACTGGCCAAAAATCAGGGGGTGAGGGTGCAGTTTAGGGATTCCAAGAAGAAACTAATGTTAAAACACACACATCACTACCGCCAAGGTAATGAGCTTCAACCAAAATGACTAGGAAACACACGCATGAGGACTGGTGGTGAGCAGTAAATATAAACTGAGACTAAACCAAGGTTAAGAGGGTGAGAGCAAAGTAGAAACTCTTTGCTCAGACACTGTACTAAAATGACATAAAAGTGGAGGTGAACAGGAGAATGGAGAACACATGCAAATATGTTTTTAAAAGTTCTCAGCGCTCTTGGGCACTTTTTATTCCAGAGAAATGAAGATTTATGTTCACGCAAACACCTGCACATAAATGTTTGCAGCACTCTACTTGAAGTAGTCAAAAACTGGAAACTACCCAGATGTCCTTCAGTGAGTGGTAAAACAAACTATGGTACATCCACGCCATGGACTACTACTCAGAAAAGGAACAACTGATACACCCCCAAACCTGCTAATCTCCAGAGAATTATGCCAAGTGAAAAAGTCAGTGCTAAAAGGTCACATTGTGGGTGATTCCATTTATTCAACATTCTTTAAATGACAAATCTATAGCAATAGAGAACAGACTGGTGGTGCCGGAAGCTAGAGGCGGCGGGGTTGACAAGGTTTGGCCGTAAAAGGGCAACAGGAGGGATCCTCATGACTCGTGGTGATGGAAATGTTCTCTGTCTTGACCATATCAATGTCACCATTGGGGGAAACTGGGTAAAGGGTGCTGAATTAATTTCTTATAACTGTATGTGAAGCAATAATTCACACACACACACACACATAGACAAAAAAAAACCCCAAACCTGTTCTGATGCAGTTATTAATATTACTATTGAGTTCGTGTGTGTAACATGGGATAAAGCACATGAGTAATTATTGTAGGATCTTCTAATACATGCACCCTGTATTGAGAGCCATGATTCTGAGTGAAGATTATAATACAGAAAATGTAAAAAACAAAACAAAAACCCCCTGCAATCCTGTTATGAACTAGAGCCATTTTTTCTTAGCTCTACCTACTGATATGCCTAGAAAACAAAGACCAGCCCAGTAGGTAGTAATGAGGATTGCTAGCACACCAATTATTGTTTTGGAATATCACTTTTCACTAAGGGAAGCCAGGGTTTCTAGAGAAATCTGATGGCAGGTCTAGGGGCAAGAAATGCACTAGATGAGCCTGGGACTTCTTGTCATGCCAGATAGGGAGGAAGGTATCAGGATTACCAGGATTATCAAGGACTCAGAAGCCAATTTAAAAGGGCTCCGACCAAATGATGGAACATTTTTAAGAGTCAAAAAGGATAATTTCATTGATGGAAATGAAACTGAAAGATTTCACCATGACTTTCAATGATGAGAGAAGTCTTGAGCTTTGATAGAGTTTTATCTTTTTCTTTTATGGCTTTCTGGGTTATGGGTCATGCTTAGAAAGGTCAGTTCAAAATAATGGCAAACACTCATTTATCTTCTTTTTCCTAAGTATTTAAGTATTTCTACTAACATGAAAACAATGGATCCAGAAGTAAATATCACAGGACCCTCATACATAACTAATCTTAAAAGTGCCAAAAACTTGGTGAGAAGATAAAAATGTGCCCATCACCCAATTGAATATGCCATGGGTTGTAAGAAGCATCACACTCTACCCACAAGAAGACATGACACTAAGGTGCCATCAACTGAAGATGCATTCCAACTTGTTCAAATATGACTAAGGTGGCCTTTAATTAATCAAGCATGCCCATTTCATACCCTGTCTTATTTTACAGGAGTCTCACTTTTCAAATGTATAGAGGCCAGTATTATCACCCAACCTGTATCGCTAAAAATTAAACAGTACATTAAAACAATAAAAATGAGTATAATCTTCAAATACTGTAGGATTTTTAAAAAATCCATTATTTCCTGACAGGATCCAAGTTCACAGCTATATAGCTTGTAACTTCTGACAGTGAAGATGTCTTGACTGGGTGTTCTAATCATACCTGCTGACATCAGCCCTGACAGGCCACAGAAATGCTGTCCCTGTTTCTCCTCCCCACTGTCCGTCATCTTCAACTCTCAGGCCTCAGTGGATCCTCAGCAAGTTATAGCAAGGAGAGCAAGCACCGCCAAACCCCAGCTACAAAGTCAGGGACCACTGAACCCCTGGAATTATGTGCAAAATGTTCCATGCATTTGTACTTTTTATGGGATTGAGTTGCTGGTTACCTGAGTGTGGCCTACTTGCCATCTGCCTGGCTTAGTCAAGGCTGTAATCAATTACGATTCTTTCCAAGATGCTCTTTCTTAACATTTTGGTCATAGGTCCATCTGTTGAGAATTGAACAACTTAATTCTAATCCTGAGCAAAGCAAGGGAGTGTCATGGTGAGATAAATGGCACTGGGCACATGTGAGAAGCAGGGGAGGAAGAGATGGTGGGGTTTAAGTTCACTGAGCGGTCACAGAAAGCTCCAATGCCATTCAGCTTTGGAGCCCAGAACTGATGTCATGCTAGGCACAGCCTCTGTGTAATAATTTACTGAAAATCCATAATATTAGTATCCAGCTTCCTTATATAAGGAAATATGCAAATGATATGGAATCAATAAGACAGATAAAATAGGACAAGTGTAACACACAAATCTAACCCATGACCCTATGTGGGCATCAGCAAACTGGCCCATGGGTCAAATCTGGCCTATTTGTCTGTTTCTGTATGATCTGTATAAAATAGATTTTACATTGTGACTTTTTTTTTTTTTAAATCAAGCATACAATATTGTGTGGCATGTAGACATTATATGAAATTCAAATTTGTGTCCACTAAGTTTTACTGGAACACAGCCACACCCAGTCAGTCACACACTGTCAGCGGCTGCCTCTGTGTTACACAACAGCAGAGTCTCAACACGTATGGCCCACAAAACCTAAAATATTTACTATCTCTGGACCTTTACAAAAAAAAAAAAATTGCCAACCTGCCTCAGAGCTCAGGTTTGGCAAGCTCTCTGATAACTTCTTCATGAATAAAGGCTAAAACCTGGATGTGTAGCTGTAAGACATTCTATGTATGTTATTCTGTTCACTGTAGTTTTCAAAGCTGGTACACCATTTGTGCAAAAAAACACAAGACAGAAACCCAGATAGACTATCTAATGTTTCCTGTTTGCTATTTCTTGTTTGGCAATTTCCTTACATGGAATGCACGTAGGAAAGGAAAAACAACAACTACCCACTGTGCTAGATTTAAAAGCATTTAATGACATAGCATATATTTAACAGATAGGGCAAAAGTTGAGAGGTACAGGTCATACAACTGAGCACCGGGCCTGAGGGACCACCTTCCTGCTCAGGCCCAGCCTCTGGAGTTCATTCCTATCAATGCCATTTTGATTGTGCAGTAAGATGAAAATTTGTCATTACAATTCGTTACAGTGAGAGAGAAATGCACACTATGTATCAAATAGCAAGGTAATGAAGCAAATTATAACACAGTGTGGCAACGCACGAGCAAGTAACCATTAGAGTAACATTACTTTGTCCAGTAAATGCTTCAGTTCCACTTGTACACTTAACCAATGATTTAAAGGGTTTATTATACATCTAGTTTTATTATACTTTGTACTAGAATTATCTCAAACATACAATATAATGTATTTCAGCAAAAAAAAAAAAAAAATTGAAATTACAGATTATTTAAAACAGTATCAGTTTTCTATTCCTTCTTGTATACCGACATTCTTGACCGTCGTCGCAGTTGATGCAGAAAAGCCGCATGTTGTGTTAGTAAGTGCTGCCAGGTACAAATGGTTTGGTCTGTGGAGTTAACATGGAGCTGCACTATGCTGCAGCGAGATCATAATACACGATCTGTTGAATTAAACTTAGCCCCATCCCGGGCGCTTCTAATAGTCAAGACTCAAGGTAACCACTGGAAGTAAATGGAAGAGAATGGTGTCAGGAAATTGGTACATTTTGTCTCTGGTGAGCACAGGAAATATTGTTCAAGCACCGCTGCCTTGCAAACCAACAGCACTAGAGGCGAGTTATTTCCAACACAGCCTCACAAAATTGAGGAACAGTTTAAATATTGAGATCTAATCTATATAATTTCATTTAAAAAAAATCTGGTCTTCCCTCTGCACCTCAAACTTTTGTAACTTGGAGATAAAGTGTTTAGGTGTATTTTCCCTCCCCTCCCCAAGAAATGATCTATAAATTAAAAAAAAAAAAAAAAGAATCAACCACATTGAGGAACATTAGGCACAGAGAGTAATGTGTTGGTTCTGAGCTTGCATGCTGGAATTTCACTGAAAAGGTAAGAGAAGGGCAGGAGGTAAAGGAAAGGAGTTCACTTCTTTTTAAAAAAGGCGGAACCGCTTCTCTTTGTCTTTCTCTTTGTCCTTCTCCCGCTTGCCGGGACTGGACTCGCTGGTGATGGTGACAACGCTGGTGGGCAAGGTCTGTGCCCGACTGGATGCTGGCGTGCTCTGGGTGCTGGCGGACACCTCGTGTTTGTCAGAGGAGATGGCGGAGGAGATGGCCTGGATCCAAGTGTTCATTTCCTCCTGGACAAGGAAGAGGGATGGGCACAAAATGCTCTTGCTCCAAATGCACAACCATCTGAGCCTGTCAGTCGAAGGCTGGGGAACAGGGCTAACTCAGGGGTGAGCAGTTCCTAAATGAACCTCTGCTTCATCAGTAGAGTGAATATGTTTCAACTCTCACAAGAATTCAGTTTACAGTACCTGTAGGTCATCGCTTTAGGATCTGGCCCTACAAACCTGAAGACGGGTCTCCACCTATGGGCTGTCAGGTCCCACCCCAGAAGTTGCTTTTTTTTCCTTTTCTTTCTTTTTTTTTTTTTTAAAGTTGAAATACATTTGACATATAACACCATGTAAATTAAACAGAAGCTTTTTCAAATTTAAAGCATTACATGTGCTGTTTTCTTATCAGTTGACCCTCTCTCCCCTCAAGGTGGAGCGCAACCATGAAATGGGTGGTTCAAGACAGTGAGGTGCAGTGGGGAGGCTCCTGATGGGCCATCGAGACCCACGTCCAGTCTTGGGACCACCTCACTGTGCCTCATCCACTGGGAGGGGGTGGGCAAGTTCTCCTCCATGGACTTCAAGGGACCCTGGGCTAGCTCTCCTGCCATGGCAAAGAGACAGCAAGATGACAGACGCTGCCTTCTACACACAAAAAGGGAACCGAACACCTTCTAGTGTCAGTGACTGGAGACCAGATGCCTAAAGCCATCATTGATCATCAGTTATACGAAGGACATTACGAGTAAAGCTTATCGTGCCACAAACACTTGCAAACTCTTAAGTATTTGAGAGGAAAGAATCTGAGAAACTTACGTCGTCTTTGGCTTGGAAGAGGTACTCATTTCCATCATTTAGTCTGTAATGTGAAGAAAGTAAATATGTCACAAAATAACTTAAGGAAAAAAACATTCCCACAACTCCCATATCCTATGTGAAATATAAGCAGGCCAGGGAGATAACGCCGGAAATGCCCATCAGAGCTCTGCACACATCACCGACCATGCCTGGGGCCTGCATAGGCCCAGCAGTGGCCCCTTGGACATCAAAACACACACAGGCACCCTGATATTTCAATCCACTGCAAGGATGAAAAGTCCCAAATGAAGCAACATCTGGTTTTGTTGTGCAAAGACCACATGGATGCCTGACCACTGCTCTGTATTGAATTCAAGAGAAAACTCTTTAAAATTTATGAGCCCTTCTGAAATTCTGCTTCTGAGCTTGCATCCTCCAAATTTATGAAAAACAAAGTATCTGAAGAGACATACAGAAATGGTCTCGTAGATGTCTCTTCTAATGTACGTCTTAGAATTAAACTGTCCTTGCAAGGCCATCATTGTGACACCGAGAAGCCACCAGCTTGGAAGACTCACTCATTCACTCCACTGCTGTCAAGAGGAAGGGGGCACTGCCCCTGGGGAGAAGGGTAAGTACCCTCTGCCAATACCCCAACCCTCTAAAGCTGCATCAAGGGAGTACAAGAGGAGGAGGCAGCCAGGCTGTCTGTGCCCTGTCTTACAGAGAACAGTGTTCCAGACATCTACGAGAGCCCTCCAGTGCTCGTCAATAGAGCTCAGTAAATCACACCATTTGATACTCTCATTTGCAGTCCTTGTCCTAGTCCAACTGACGTGAGGCACACTCGCAACCGAGGACCAAAGCTTCTCAGATCCCAAAGCAACGGATCAAAGCAGTATTAAACTAAGGACACATCCTAACCACTAACACAGATCCTTCTTACATTTTTAAAAGAAAAAATGGTTTTTCTGACCATTTCCAAGTATAAGCAGAACTTCTGAGCTTGGATCCACTCTGGGGGAAGTGTACGTGTTCAACAGGGTAGAGACATTTGGAGATAGATGGTTCCGGAGGCAGCTAGAGCACCCGCTGGGCAAGTGAGGGAAGCACAGAGCCCCAGGCCCCACACCCTCACTTCCTGTTTGTCTCCATCCAGCTCCAGGATAACGCACTTGACCCATCACCAGAAAACTAACAGCACAGAACAGCATCTCCCGAGTCCAGAGAAGCTGAAAAAACGGGGAAACTATTTTTTGTCCCTAAACTTAAACTGTAAAATGTGAATAGCTCATCTTCTCTTAGAGAACAGTTAAGTTCCAGCTTATAAAAATGAAACCATCTGTTCTTCAGTGTTTGGCTATGCCATTAATCGCAGGGAAGCTGGTGACTGACCAGTCTCCAAAGATCTTAAAGGAGATGTGTACCAAACCGGTCTGTCATTTTCTTGGTGACTTTTTAAATGGCAGAGAAGAACCAACTGATCACAGTATCTAACAAAACCAACCCCCAGAGTGAGAATAAACACGCCCATTCTCCAGCACCCACGAAACACAGCGACTCTCACCTTAGCTTGAACACGTGTTTCTTCTTTTTGTAATCAAGTGCCACTTCACAGATGGCTTCTTTCAAACTCACAGGGACCTCGCTGTGGTAGGGAATCCCGGAAGCGGCTGTCTTTGCATCTTTGTAGAAACCCATTTCTTGGTTATTTATGACACAATAAACATTGTGCCAGGACCTGAGCAGTACAGAAAGGTATGTCAAGGTTCTACACCACACTCCCTTGAAGAATTAGGAATTTGATTAATATGAAAATGATCTTCACAAGTGTTGTGGCTTCTTACTAAAAGCCCACGCTTAAATCTGTTAGAACTAAACAAACGGAAGGAAATGCCTCTGTGGACTCCTGGGATAGAGCACACACTGCCATGGTGGCAGGTTTCTGAGGGTGACTTTTCTCTCTGCATCCAGGAAAGGGGGGTGGGGTGGGGTGGGGGCTCGACGACAACAACAATGACACGGTGCCCTCTTCTGTTCAATAAAGGTACTCTTGGCTCTGACAGGAAAGGATTTCTTGGTGTTTGGATTCTTTGCTGTGATACCCTCTTGTGGTAATGGGGTACAGGCCAGGCTCATTTGAAACATGCCCATCCTTAAGCAGTTCCCCACTTCAGCTTCATTCTTTCTGTGGCTGGCAACCTGACAGAGCAGCAGATCCAGGGCCATTAATATTTATAATACCTCTGGATGCATTAGAAAAAGGTGAGCTTTCCTCATGACATGGCAAACTGTCGTAACACAGTGTTTATTAGAACGAGATACTTTACAGCCATCCAAGTGCATTAAATAAATCTACGCTGTCCTCAGTGCAGATGGCAGCTTAGACGGGATTTCCTTGACTAATGTACAACCTGCACAACTGTACATGGTGGTCCCAGGCAGTCTGGTTTACTGGTTAAGCACATAGGCTGTGGAGTCAGACACGAGTTTCACCCGAGCTATGCCATTTACTAGGTGTCTAAGGACAGTGAGCTTTCTTAACCTCTCAGGACATCAGTTTCCTCATCTGTACAACAGAGATAACGAAAGTAGAGCTACTGGAGATGATGAATATAAAGACTGACATGGAGGCGAGGCAGGAGAAACAGTAAATGTCTTTAAAAAATCCCACGACGAGGAAAACTACCATGAAATCACTTCGCTTTAGAGAAGACCCAGCCTTAGCCCAGCAGCATTCCTTCTCTGGGTGAACTACTCAGGCCTCTAATTTTGCTTTTTCCATCCACACGTAACTTCCTCTCTCAGTGAATAAGAAGCATCCACTCCCAATTTCCAGTGTCAGTCCCAAGAACGTAATGCCTAGGAAACTATGAACAAATCGACCACGTGAACGCGCACTCCCCTCCCACCTTGAGACCAGCCTGCCTTGACCTTTAATGGGATGACTCCCCGTCTTACTGCCTCCGCCTCTGCACTGTTACCTGCTTGAGGCTTTCTTATTGTGGGCCTCCCACTCGTGCTTCCGATTCAGGAAGCCTTCCATCTGGGCCGAGGGCGTCTCCTGGGTTCTGGCTGGCAAGGTGGCGGCACTCTGGGCAGGGAGGGCAGTCTTGGCTTTGCGATCAGAGGTGGGGGAAGGGATGGGACTGGACTCCTTTGAACTTGTCCTCTGTTCTGCAGCGCCGTTGACCATTTCACTCGTGTCCACTGTTTCTGCCATCTAGGGACAGCAGAGAGGCTAGTCAGCGAACCCCATGATTCAAGGGGGTGACCACATACGCTCTAACTGACTCGCACACGTGGCTGTGTATAAATGCCTGGCACAGATCGAGGCAGTACAGTAAAACCATTGCACATCCCAGAAAGCCAGCTGGACACCAAGGACATTAGAAGGTGGGAAGGGATTAATGCCCGCCCATTTATGGGAAAATGAGAAAAGCGAAATGCCAGTATGAGTTTTACTGCACTCTGCTCCTCTGATCAATCCATTTTCTCTAATATAACTCAGATCATTTCCTCTTATGGTTACTTTAAAACAAAAGGACAACGATAACAATCACACATATTAAATATGAGAGAGTGGACGTTATACAGCAGCCACCTTACAACCAAGGACGCCACCAGAAGGGCTAGAAGTTTAAGCGAAAGGGCATTCACAAACAGATCGATAGACAACTCTATCAGAACTACACAGCATTCCCCCAAAGACAAGGAAAGACCTTTGGTTTCTGAAAATGCTCTCTGGCTCTCCCCTCCCCGCTCCCCTCAACACATCGTCATAAACACATGCAGAAATTAGGACGACAATCATGCATTTCACATCTACCATCCCAGTTAGACTTTGGAACTTAAGAGCTGGAAGGAAATGAGGCAAGTCAACAAACATCAATTTAACCACATCTGCCGAAGTTGTATCGTGAGTGGGTTGTAGTTTGTGTTAAAGGAGCTGGAAAAGCCAATCACAGTCACTCAACACCACACAGCTATTTACCCCCAAACAAAGACAGAACCAGGG